GAACAGGGAAGTACAGACCTCGTGGCGGTTGCAGTCTAATGTGAATCAATCCATGGTAATTTTCAACTTTATCAAAGTTTTTCCGAATGATTATCGGATGACCAAGCGGGTAAAGTCCCGTGGCATTCACAAACGGATAAAGCGATGTGAAATCCACATAGAATATTTTTTCACCACGGACTACAATGTGTCGTAGGCGAACAGCCTCGGTTCGCCCGCCATACAACCCTTGTCTCGGATCCAATGGAATTGGCTCGTCAAACTTCTCTAAGAAAGATTGAACAGTCGGGTTACTTTTTTTCATGCGATCCCATTCATGCTCCCATATATACACTACTGACACATTGTGATCCGACTCTAATCGTGCTTTTCTCTCCATGGTCTGAGAGTAGAGCTCGCTAAAACACATGTTTTAGTGAGTGGAGATTCATCATGTGGGTTGTAGCACGAATTACAGCCATGAAAAAAGCAACCTAGAAATTCAAATACAGTTGTTTTACCGTCTACTTCAGCGCATCCGTCAACACTGTACCGTCCAAATTTAACCTCCCCGCCATTCAAAGCATGCTGTATGGCAATGCCACGCCTCTCAGCCTCAAACTCCAGCCATTGAATAGAAGCATGAGAGAAGGACTTGTAACCGGATGCATAGTTCAGTGGACAGGGGATTGCGATTGTATTAGGTTCTAAGAATCTGCATTGAAAAACCGCTAATGCTGCTGAAGCGATGGTGACATTATCTATCGGATCACAAAGTGTCAGGTTTATAAATTCATCGCGGAAGTTACACACACCCTCAGACAGAATTTGAACATCATTTTCGCAGTAAGCCAGTATTTCAGCATCATAATTAAATGTACCCTCTTTCACCGTTTGATACCATTGGAGGAAATCCGTTCTCTGTTTAACCGACATCTCATTTACCCCATAGAACTCGGGGTCCGGGTATTTGCCAATATAACCTTTTCTCGAAGGATCTGTAAATTTATGAGGGAAGTAACCTTTTTTAAGCTGTGTTTTACACCCCAATGCCTTAGGGAAATCTCTGAGAGGTATGGGCATGAAGGAGAAAGAGTCTATATATTTGAGTGAAAAATCCTTGTCTCCAATGAGAATAACTTTACTACCCTGTGCTATTGTTTCAGGGTTTAAGCGCTCACTAACATAAGCGTTCAAAAGAATGTGGTGATCAAAACCTTTCCCGTAGTGTGACACAAATGTAGTGTGCTCATATTTTTTTTGACGAAAATGTCGGAGGAACTTCACAGCGCAATCTGGGCCTTCAAAAACTATATGCTCGCCGTGTAAGGATTTTGTGGCTACGAGGACTGGCACGTGCGTCCCATTAGTCTGGGAGGTCTCAAAATCAAAAAATACCACTTTTTTGCTGTATATTTGTTTTTGAGTTTTAAGTTTTTTTGTTCGCATGAAACAAATATGTGGCTCAGAACCATCCTCGTTTGCTTTGGGTTGTTTACAGATTGTACATAGAGATGCGCGGCAAATGTGCTCTTTAGGATTTTCGATTGAATTATAGTAGATCAATTTGCAAACCGGACATTTTTTATTGAGCCGACAATTGCTGACATAGCAACCAGATTTTGGACGCATTCTTTTCTCCCTATGACGTGTATAGCAGACACGGTTTGTACAATGGCGATTGCAGTCATCACAGTAGACGGGACTATATGGCGTTTTTTTACAGTTGGTACCGCATATGGAGCAACTTTTATCGCAATAGTGCCTGTACAAGTTATTATGCCCACTGTGGCAATGATGGCAAAAAAACCGAGTGCCTAGAAAACCCTTGATATTTTTCACACCATAATAATGATTATGATGTAGGAAAAAATAGTGTGTTGTTTTCTGTGGCGCGGATGGTGTTTGAAAAGTAATTAGGTTGTTTTTTTCACTGTCGGGGGAACGATGGAAAACAACTATTTTGCAACGTAACAACTCTTCAAATTTTACAATGTCCGGAAATGCGACGTCTGCATCGAGGGATAAACCAGCCTGTGTATGAATTTTATGACCTTCGGTTATGGCCTCTGTGGTTGACAGAGAGGGGTTTGTCAATAGCGCCAGATTAACAGCAAAACATGTTTGATCAGAGTTGTGAACTATAAAAATATGTTTTGCTTTTTTTTTTATAATTTCTGAATCGAGACAAGATTCGAGTCGTCTTTTGCCACTGCCACGGGGCGCTCTCACAATCTGGATGGTTAGCGTAAGAGTTTCATCTGTGTAAATATTATTATTACTTTGGACTAGACGCGATAAAAGATCTTGAAATTCAGACGCTAAAGTGTCACCATAGAGGAGCGTCATTGTCACATCTGTTTGTAAACTAGCGGCCCCCAGACTAACCTGAATGCGATCGTTAGGTAAAAGTCCGACCGTCTCTATGGCTCTTGAAACAGTATTGTTAAACCCATTTGTCACATTCTGGAAAAACTGGGGGAAGTCAGCTGTTGGAGTCTGGTGAAAACGCAGTGTTGTGGTAATTTCAATATTGTTGAATTTACCACGACGTTTGACCTTTTCAGTACTTGTATAACCCGAATCATCATTTTCAGACACTTCATCATGGTTGTCATACACTAAACCGCCGCCCTGGTGTGAAGTTGAGGGCTGCTGAAAATCTGGCTCAAAGTGGGATGTGGAAGGCCTAACATGTACACCTCTTTCATCAGATTGTTCAAATGTGTCTAATGAGTCCACACATATCGAATCAGCGGGGGACCACGGCCCCTCCTCAACATCAGTGAGCGTTCTCTCATAATGATCTACGGCATTTAGACATTGTGTATCGCTGGGACTTGCAGGATTCAATTCTAACTCACGATTGACTTGTGTTGGTGGGGGTGACGGATATCTAAATGTCTGTATATCGTTTTGCAGTTGGGATTCAGTTGGAAGGTAGACTGGAGCCGCGTTCTCATATTGGTTGATTATCGGACTGCCATGTTCACAGTTTGTAGAATTACGGGTGACATTTGTTTCAGCATTTAACTCTGAGATGAGTTGGAGAAGATCCGGGGGTACATCACATGATTCAGCCATTTTTAAAAAAAATTACAGAGTCATTGGCATAAGAGTTCCATGAGTCAGCACAGATACTGGGAACAACCCTAACAGTATAACATGTGTGCCTATACAGATTATCGCGTATGGGGCTCACCGATTGCTGTTTTCAATAGTTCAGTTTTGCTGGACGATTATGGTAATGCTGCTCCGATTCGCACTTGAGGTGGTTTGTCGGTTCCCGGGCCTTCATCAAATGACGGGCTGGGGATTCTCTGCTGACTAGCCGATTGGGTGATCCTGATGATCTGATGGTAAATGTTATTGATTAGTTTTAAACACACATAGAAGATAATAATATTAAAATAAAATCCGCTTACTTTTTCCCAGTTGAAATGTAGATTCTGAGATCTTTAAGAACGAGTTCTTCGCCAGTGGTCTGAAACTAAAAGAAGACTGGTTTAATGCCTTACACTTAGATATAATAAAACAGTGATGCAAGGAGTGTGTGTGCGAAAACGCGCACACACACACACACACACCCATTCTTTTCAGAGTCTGGGGGGGGGGGGCATGCTGGACGCATATGGGGCTATACCGACACACACACACACACACTCTTTTCAGAGTCTATGTCTCTGTGTTTTGCTGAACACACAGAGACATGAACGGGGAGAGAGAGGCTAGGCACACACCCACACACCGTAACTTATTGTGTAAATAGCAAAATTCAATTACTCACAGAGGGGTGGTAGGGCTTCGCTCAAAACTTGAAGGTGCAGACTTCTCAATCACGGGGATGTAGACACTTCTTGATGCAGCAGGCGCAGACTCTTCATGGTCCAGGTCACTTCTTGATGCAGCTGGCACAGACTCTTGGTCAACACTGGTCAATCTCATGGATCCCGTATTTATACACATAGGATGTGAGATAGACCCTCCCACATCCTAGCCTTATCAATTGTCTCACTTTTAACGAGGAAATTATTTTCGCTCTGCAGGTGCCTTGTGCTGGAGGAAGTTTTCTTTTGAAAAACACGCGGGAAGATTTTAGCCCTTGTCATAGGGCTTATCAATTGTCACTCTTAAGGGCATAGATGCTTTCTCACAAACCTCTCTCACACCATGCTTAATTAAAGTTAAAGGAAGTTAGAACAAAAACATTTTTTCCACCCATCAATCATGAAAACAGACCCATCATACAGAGTGAGGGGGCTAATTGGTCAGCTTAAGGAGAAGATGCCACATCCTAGACTTATCAATTGTCTCACTTTTAACGAGGAAATTATTTTCGCTCTGCAGGTGCCTTGTGCTGGAGGAAGTTTTCTTTTGAAAAACACGCGGGAAGATTTTAGCCCTTGCCATAGGGCTTATCAATTGTCACTCTTAAGGGCATAGATGCTTTCTCACAAACCTCTCTCACACCATGCTTAATTAAAGTTAAAGGAAGTTAGAACAAAAACATTTTTTCCACCCATCAATCATGAAAACAGACCCATCATACAGAGTGAGGGGGCTAATTGGTCAGCTTAAGGAGAAGATGCCACATCCTAGACTTATCAATTGTCTCACTTTTAACGAGGAAATTATTTTCTCTCTGCAGGTGCCTTGCTCTCGAGGAAGTCTTCTTTTGAAAAACCCGCGGGAAGATTTGATCCCTTGTCATAGGGCTTATCAATTGGCCAATCAGGGCATAGATGCTTTCTCACAAACCTCTCTCACACCATGCTTAATTAAAGTTAAAGGAAGTTAGAACAAAAACATTTCCCACCCCTTTTTCGACCGCCCACATTTCGCCCCTCCCCTTGGTTCCCACGCTTTTTAGACAATAGAGGGGTGCCATTTTAGACAATAGAGAGGGCGTGGCTAAAGGTCAAAAGGTCATCCATCAAATTTTGACGTTTTGTGCTTCCTTATTTCTCTTATAAGGCTATTGTTTTAAATGTTTGTTCCACAGAAACCATTATTGAAGTTACCTTTAAATTTGCCGCTCTCCAGCAAAGCTCCAGACTCTTCAAGCGAGAAAAACTCCTCAATGGACACAAAGTTATAGTCCACTCCAGATATCTCTCCATCTCGTGGCTGTCGCGTCGTACCTGGGAGAAGAAAACACTGCATACTTTGTTGGGTAAATGCAAACAGGTCACGTTCATACGTTTAGCTACGCTGGCAGAATTGATGATTTTTTTTATCATTTCTCAGAGAACATGAAAGATTCCATATTATTCACTCATGCTTAGTGGTTGGGTGACACTATTTATGTGTTGTTATCTTTGTGGATTTCAAACTTGTGTGTGTCATAGACAATATATAGATGGACATTGCAAACTCTCTTGCTCAATGGAGCCCAAAAGTTTTGTTCCTTCTCGCTCCGGCTCTTTTTCTAATTGTTTTATGATTTTAAAAGTAAACACAGTTGTTTAATAAATAAAAAATCTTTGTTTTATCATTTATTTTATCTGCATATAAGAAGCTGGCTCCTGTGGAGAAAGTGGCTGAGAGGAGGACCATGTTCAGACACAGAGCCATCATGGAAAATGCCTCACATCCCCGACATGAGGCCTTCGCTGACAGCAGTAGACTGTTGTCCCAGCGCTGCTCCACAGACAGTGCACAACTCCTTGACCTAGCCATTGTTTTGTACCGTTTTTAGAATAAAATAGAAAACGTATTATGTACCTATGAATGTGTGAATGAGAATAGCCGGCACCACTGTAATTTCCTTCGGGATCAATAAAGTTTATCCTATCCTTATGCATAGATTGTGTAAACCTATGAGCACTTATATAACATGCATATTCTACTCATAGTTGTTCTCTTCCACGCCTAAATACTGTGATGTAAATGTTAGAAGTGTGATCAATGATTGCAAGACTGTCAACAGAAAACTCTCCAAACACAATCAAGTTTACAGAACAAACAAGAGAACAGAGAGGAGTGGGTCCAATAGAAACATGTGAGTGTGATGTATGAGCGGCGTTGATGAGGAAAGAAACAGAGAGACATTTCAAAGGACAAGGAATTTATCTTTTGGAGTAAGACATGACAAAGCGGCTTCACGAAGGCAATGAGTCAGGTCCCAATGAAACGTCCAAATAAATGAATATTTATTTGTGAGGCTAATAAATATTCTCTACTCTAATGCATTATGATTTGTCATTAGTGGTCACAATTAATAGATTAAAAATACAGAAAATACAACATTAAATTACCTCAAAACAAGATCAACAAGACAAAATATGTTCTCGGTTGACAAAACAATTCAAGTACAGGTATTTAATGAGAAAGCGGTCTGATTTCTGAATTCTATGGGGAGGTCTGAAGTCAACAGTTCATGTGTTTTTCCAAATTTACCAGAAAGATTGCAATTGGATTTTTTTTTTTTTTATTGTCCAGCCCGAGTTAAGGTTAGTTAGAACGAGCTTTGTACTATTACCAGTTGTACAATAGATTACAAAAAGATTATGCGTTGCATTTGATTATTATTGTATTGTTCAGCAACAGTAAGAGTGTGTGTATGTGTGTGTGTATGTGTATGTGTATGTGTATGTGTTTGTGTGTGTGTGGGATGTGTGGGGTGAATCTATTTTTTGATCTTACATGGCACGGCTCGTAGATATAAGTTTTCCCGTATGACTTGCTGGAGCTGGCTGTCCATGGATCCAGGAGTGAAGCACTTACTCAGATACAGCCTCAAATCTTTACACAGAGACGCACCTAAAACAACACACATATAAAAGACTACACAAAAATACACAAAAAACTACAAAACAAGGGGTGCTGGGAGTTTTAGGTCACGTTCAGCTGTAAAGGCTGTATTAATGTGATCTCGGAAATTATATCCACTATATTCAGACTTCTCAAAACCAGAGCGCTCGGAGTCGGCTGGTGACACACGTGCAACATAGACAACAATAACAATATACATGTAGATATACAATAGACATGTAACCGCTTTTATGTGACAAATACAGGAGCAAATATTATAAACAATGTGCTTATACATCAAAGACTGTATATAGATTGTCAATGCCAAACCCCCTAGCTCAATGAAGCCCACAGGAAAGTGCTCATGGATGAAGTTTGCTCCAACTCAACTCACTCTGGCTCCTATTGACTTAATTCATTGAAAAGCCAACTCCCATTAGCTCAGTAACCGTTTGTGTCACGCTCACCATTGAAGTGAGCGTGACGCAAACCCTTCACTCGCTTGGAGAGAACCAAAGTTTGTTTACATTTTTTTACGAGTCAGAAGTTGGACCTTTTGAGTGGTCCATGTTGTACCTGGCGACACAGTCTTGATCCTGATTGGCTGAGGGCAGGAGTTCAGTACACCTCTGACATCACCCAGGGTCATTCCTAAAATGGGCGTGCCTCCAATCTCAAGGATGATGTCGCCCACTGTAGCCCCGCCTCCTGGAGCTGCCGTGACGAAGGGGAACTCGCCGTAGTCAGCTCCGCCCCCCACAGCCAGCCCGAGCTCCCCATTGGCTCCGAGGGGCACGAAGCTCTCCTGGACCTGTGGATAAAAGTGACCACATAAACAACCACAATCAAGCAATTATCAGGTGATAGCAACGAGGGATGGGGGGTATAATGGTACTCAAGTAGATTAGATTAAATCGATTTGATTTACTAGTTAACTTCAGACCTCTGCTCATACATTCAGAAAAAAAAAATTATACAAAAAGCAAAATACACACATACACAATTTGAAAACGTATAAAGTTATATTAAAATGCCTGACGTATCAATATGGTCAGGTTTGTTCAGACATCCTTTACTTTTGGGCAAAAAAAGCAGAAAATGAATAGCCCACAAAAGGATCTTTTTTGGTTAAGATATAAATCTACCCATGGCATAAACAATATAAATGATCAACATGCTAAATGATCTGTGACTTTTTCCACTGATTGGTTTGTTTGCTCATCCTCTGGACAGTTAAAGCTGGGATACTTAATGTTCAAACCATAAATTCCATTGAACTAGTTTCTTGCTCTTAAAACAGTTTAGTTCTATCTCTTGTAAAAACGAGAGGACGCCACTAAGCCCTTGTCCCAAAGCATCAGATATTGACACACAAGGTTCTTTCTTAAGTATGTAAAGAGAGACTAGTAAGATAAAACCCGTATGTGGTGGTCTGATTTATAAACGACCTTTTACTTTTTACTTCTACAAGACTCTTTCTACTGGGATAAATAACATATATTATTTAGCTTTAAGTACTATTTATAGTTCATATGAATTTACACAACACAAAATATGGTAATTGTTTGTCAGGATAATTATACCCAGTACATTTCATAATGACCCAGGGCCAAGTAAACGGTGCACTTGAACATTTTCCCTTTTGAAGTTAGACCAAAAGGGCCCGAGTCCTGGATCCAGTTTGAGAATATGTTTACTTTGATTTGAAAAGTGACCTCACCTTAGAACGCCAGTGCAGCTTCTTCACGGTGGCCTTAGACATGACGCTTCAGCTGCAACAGAAAGAAGTCGACAGACAAACAGGTACATAATAACCCCAAGCATAAATACATGAGAGATTACAATATAGAAAATCCTTTTCTCACTTTTTTTTTGTACTTTTCACTCACAACCATTTAATCTCAGTAAACACATATGTAAACTTTTTTGGGAAGTTGTTTTCATACACATGTAACATCCAATATCAACAATTCTGGTTGGTTGGATAATCTGCATGAGGCCGATGAATCCTCCACATATCACAGATTCACAACAGAAAATTGCCACAAACCAGAGGAGGGGCTGGGTGGCGGTTTGTGAATATGAGGACATAAATAATTCAAACATACATGAATCCTGCAAAAAACTGTTTTGTAAATGAAAAGGGAAAACAATTATAACATGACCGTTTTCCATGTCCTGTCCCCTTTAACTTTAAATTTGCCCACTGTGATTACCACAGTTTGGACCCCCTGCTGTAAAATGTACATAATAAAAAGAATGGTGAACCTGTTAATTGAAGGCCTCTCGGAGTTGGAGTGAAGTACGTGTTCATATAACTGCAGTTTAATCACAGTAATGGCTGTAATATTCACGGATCATTTTATTCCCGAGCCGTCAGCAATTTTCCGACTCTTTATCAAAAACATCATCATCGACCCCCTCTGTGTCTCCAAGGCAACTGCATAATTACCCACAGGAGAAGATATTTCCTGTCTTTTATTTGGATTCAGAGTCAAAAGATGAGTGCAAAGATCATCGATAAAGTGTATGTGTATTTTTTGAATCTGACAAATTGACGCGTGTGATGGGCTTGTAGATGATGGAGAGAACATTACCTTACGCAATCTGACCTCAGAGGCATTATTATGTGGTGATGGAGCAGTGTGAGAACTGCCCCCTCAGTGCAGGGTTTTAAGCCTTGTCTTAAGACATTGTCTTGTTATTTTTCATATATTTGAATTCATGGTTCATGTTTTGCTTTTTCATATGATTTGGCTCAAACTGAATCTGATTTGTTTGTGGTTTTTGAACAATTGAAATATATTATGTTTTTATCCTGATTGTATTCATGGTTTTGTCCTGTTTTTTTCATGGTTTTATCTATGTGCGAAACTCTAGTTCATAAAATAAATAAACTAATAAATAGTAAGATAACGTTGAATCGATTGGGAGTTTCATGGCCATTGTGACAGATTGTGGATTGGTATTTCTTGCCGATTCATTAATTGTTTATTTTATTATTACAGATTGTTTTTATGTCTGACGGAGTAGATTTTATGGGCTGAACTATTTCGAGAAAAATATAAATGCACATTTTTTGGCAAAAACAAAAATCATAGGAATGGGTTCAGTAGTAGTAAGTTAGTGAGTCATTTTTTGTAGCCTGGCCTTAGCCATCCGTACACTCCGGTCAATAATCATTTCCCTGCATGTAATTTGTACTATGGTGTATCTTGATGTAATCTTTATGCTCGATCCACAGAGGCACTCTACTGTGTGCATTTCTCCTCTCAGTAATTTAGTGGTAGGGGAAACCAGAGCACTGAGAAGGAACCTACAGTACGTAGACACAGGGAGAACATGCAAACTCCACTGTCTGGGGGTGGAATCAAACCAATTACCTTATGAATTTAACAAGAGCTGTGTCACTGTGCCGAAAAACACATTTAGTCAAAAAATTTACACACAGGATTTTACACAGAATAAAATAAGATTTCGACTTTATTATGTTTTTATACAGATTTCCAAAAAGACCAATTTGAAAATATCTTGTGTTATGTTTGATATAAAACGGATGAATTCAAGGAGAAATTATGTTTGGTCATGTATTTTTGTTTTATTTTAGCAGCAGCTTAAACTGAATTATCTTTTTCAAAAACCAAATGAACATTTTACCAGTGGCTCTTGGTTGGAGTTGTTTATTTTGACGCTCTGAATGACTCATGGTTTTATTTTGGAGAAATGTGTGGATTTCCTGCCACTGAAGAGCAGATGGTGACTGACAGCAGGAGGCATTATTTACACAAACACAACAACTATTAGCACTCAAAGCACAGATGGATAATAGAATATAAAATGAAAACCCGATACATTTTGGTTTTAACATTTTGAAACCTGTTTATACTGTATGTGTGTGTGTGTATGTTTGCATGTGTGTGTGTGTGTGTGTGTGTGTATAAAGATGTGTATATGTACAGTATATTTCTATATGATAAGATAATAACTACATATATGTATGAATATTGTCTTATGTATGTGTGGGCGGGTATGTGCAACCGTATAAGGTGAATTTAGGAATGGGGTGGGAGCCTATAAGCTTGACTTCTTCCCACTCCTTTTTGAGCTTCAACAGGAGTGGAAAAAAAAGGAAACCCTTCAATGTATATGTGTTTCTATCATGTATAAAATGTAATTGCCGTAATTCTATAATCCAATCAATCAATTAAACCTGGGGTACCTAATTTAAAACAACCACAAAATAACTATGAACTAAAATCCATGACACTGGTCCCTGGCTGTAAAGCAGTTTGGTTCTATCAGTGGTTTTCACATGCATGTGTTTTGGGACTGGGGCTCATCTTTAGCTTTTTCCGACCGAAAGTGTCAAATACAAGTGAAATTAAAACATTATTCAATAGTTATTCTAGTTCTGAAATGTAATTTAAAATATGAAACCAATACATCATATAGACTCATTACACGAAAAGTGACCACTAAAAAATATATAGCAGAATTTGCCAAGGCTTTGTGTGTTACCGGTTTGATGGTTTTGTCTTACAGTTCATTTAGTAAAGACTAATGGCTAGTGGTTAATTGTCGCTAATTCAAAAACCATAAACGAATTTTCAAAATATAATTCATTTTCCGAGATGTTTTATTTAGGTTTTATTTGTTGTGACTCACAGGGGACTTTCTTTCAAGTGTGCGAAAGATAAAAGGTTGTCTTCTGATAAAGACAACAAGATGTAGTCTGATCTATTCACAAAAATACTTTTACACGACTCTTTCTATTGAGACAAACCGTATGCATTACTCGTGAAAAATAAAGTTAGGTACACCAGCTTTAAGTGCCACATTAAAATATGGTTGGAACATGCAGGGATGATCCATACTTAGGCTGAAAAAGGGAAAAACTGCACATGAGCAAAAAATGACATGCAGTGAGTTAGTTGGCATTGTGCAGAGGACAAGATGGAGAGGTTTTTGAAGTAAAGAACGCTGACATAATCAAAAAATAGAAAGTGTTTTGCCGGAATAAGAACTGGTACAGATTTTACATTTAGTGAGACCAGGAAGACTTCCAGCAAGAGCTCATGGTGATCAAGCCTGATTTTCAGTTTGATTGTGTTTCTCTCCTAATAACAGCATATAAAAAATATATATATATATTTATTTCAATTCTAGTTGAAACCAAGTGATATAGACTCATTACATGCAAAGTGGCATATTCCCAATCTTTGTTTGAAGATTATGGATAACTGATAAACAAGTGTATGTGATGTATTCAGATTCAGTTTATTTGCCATTTGCAGTTAAACCACATTGGAATACACGTGCAAAAGTCCCTCAGTGCGCACCAGAGCTCCCTGTAATGAGTCATTATAGAAGTTTCATATTGTAAGTTCAAAAGTAGAACGATATTCTAATTTTCAGAGTTTCACTTGTATAATGAACGAGCAAATCCGCTGAATCTGAATCTCTTCATTAATATCTTACCACTGGATATTTTGCACAAATTGTAGGTAGTTGTATTCTAGAAATCTATGGCATTCTGGCAAAAAAAACTACCAATTAGAATGAGTCTGGTTGGAGTCATGTGCCCGTAGGGAAGCAAATAGTTATACAAAGCTGCTGTTTCTACCATGTATCACTGTGTAAGAACAAAACACAAAAAATAGAAACAAAAATAAAAAGATCATAATTTTCAAAACCATTGTGTATTGAATGGAAGATAAAATGGATTATTACCCACAACATCCATAAGTTATGATATATTTAAGGGAAATGTGTGATCTGTATTTGACCCATCCTGTAATGCCACTATCGGGCCCCGTCAGGAGCAAATAGCATCACATTTTGTATACTATACCACATTAAACGTAAAAAAAAATAAAAATAAATGTTGTTCGGGACTACCAGCATTTTCTACATTCCAGACCTCTTACAGTATTAACCTGCTAAAACCTCGTGTAAAACTAACCAGGAGCCATATACAGCATCCATTGAGCCTCCACAAAGACCCACTATAGAAAATGTAACAATTAATGAAGAAGATATTGTGATTCATTTGAGTGTAAACTGATGACCCAGTGAATGGTGTGCTCCCAATCTCCTTCACAGTTTCTTTTCCCACTGCAGATAACTTATAGATGAGAATAAACTATGGGCATTTTTATAACTATTTCAGTTCGAAAGCACCATGGTCCCCTTTTCCAAGACCACTCACAATATGTACTTTATGCTGAAGGATATTCAATCATTTAACATTTAGACCAAAAGTATATTAACAAACCAGATGTAAATATGCTTATTTTTTATTTATTTTTGTTAAAATCGTAATCACTGGTTGTGAAGACAACAGTGATTACGTAGTGCTTCCCTCACTATGGGAAGCACTACTGAACTATCTTGTGTACGATACAGACCAGTGGTTCTCAACTGGAACAATGTTGGGACCCACCATTGACATATATGTACTATATATTTTCACAACAAAATGGTTTTAGGCGTTAGACTAATACTAGAGAGTTAAAACAAATAAACAAAATGATTACATTCAGATGAATTTTAGTATCTTTACTAAGTCTTTAAAAATCTCCAAATCTTTCACATTAAATAAAAAAAAAAATGAGTAGCTAATTTCAACAAATTTACCAATAGGACAATTTAACTAAAGTCACAAATTTTAAAACGTGTTTCTCAGGAAGCATGTAACAAGTTCATGGAATAATTTTGACTAATAGATTATTTTAATGATGAAGATTTTTTAATCAAACAACC